TTCGCAATGTATTCATGCCATAAATTTGCTCTATATGTTTTTTCTTCCAAGGCCATCCAAAAAATTATAAGGAAATAAAATATAAGAACATAATCGCTATCTATTAAACCAAATTAAATTGGGAAACTAAAAGAATTTACGAAATGTGTAAGGAAGCAAAAGAAGAGCAGTTAACAATCAAATCTTGTTAGCTTCACACCCTTTTTTTACATTTGGATTGCTTCCCCCCCGAAATCGACCATCTGCGAGGCACATAACCATCAAATAGTGCATTCGTGCCATATGCAATGGACAAAGAACATTGAAGGGATAAAAAAATGAAAACAAACAAACACTGGTGACTGACCTTCCGAATGAGTAAAAAAAACAAATGTGTTCTAACCTTCTCTTCGAAGACAACGACGACATTGCTCAACAGAGGTCAGCTTCGCGACAAGATGGTAAAAGCGGTGGCTTAAACACTCAACCTACGACACCACAGTTGTCTCATTTCAATGAGGGAGGAAAGGGAAGAAACGAACAGAAGAAGGGCAGCGGAGTAAAGATTCGCTCGACGCGAATTCAAGTCGCGGGCCGCAGGGTCGATCACGCAGCCCCGTCTATTAACAAAATCGAAACAGTGTTTTCCAATAAGTTTCCCGAACGCGCGAAACAAATGATACGGCGGCGTTTTCAAAACCCTACCCGCAATTATAAGCTACTCCAAATGGGTCCTTAAAATATTATCAATCAAGTTATACTCGGCTCGACTTCGCTCAATTACAACCTACTTACAGATAGTATCATATATGATAATTATTAAAATAAAATTTGATTAACTTTAACTTATTTAATTAGATATTTAATAGTAGTATTTTATAATTTAATATCAATAATATTTTAGGATTAATTATTAATTACATATTAATAATATAATCCTTTAATGTCATTATGTATATTATGTTATTGCAATTCGTCCTTGTTTATTTATTTTAGTGAACTGGGTTATTAATATTTCTTTATGGCTTGCAACTTATATATTATCTTATTTAATTGGTGTGAGGTAGTCGGATAGTAATATGAAATTTATTCAACTACTTATTTAATTTTTAGCTCATTCATTTATTCAATTAAGTAGTCATTCAATTAACATAAACAAGTACAAGAAAATTACGATTATAAATAAGTTTAAATGAGCTAGGTATGAACAAACATGTGAAAGCTTGACCTGATCTCAAATCAAACATGAACAACTTATAATTTGACCAAACCAAGTCAAATATAAGATATACTCGGCTTGATTACAGGCTTAGGCATGTACTTGAGCACTAAGTAATAGCCTCACATCCTTTCTTAGTCCAAAAAGGCAAAGCAATCGCGTGATGCTTGCACTATTTGATGCATGCGGATTTATGCAAATAATATTGTATTTGAAACTGACATGTGTTAGAAGGCAAGCGATGGAGTGTATACATACACATCACACATCAAAGCAAATCTACAAGTGCAACACTCACATAGTGCAATACATATTCATGCAAGCTTAGTGTTTTGTGTGGATGTGCGTGCATGTTGCTGAAAAGAAGTTTGTGCAAGCAAAAAGATGTGCACTAGTGCGCATGAATGCAGCTGATAAGGAGGAAATGTGTATAAATCAAATGATCTGCGCAAGTGTGTGAGCTTCTCAAGAGACGTGCACAAAAGCATGCAAATAGACATGTGAAGCAGGAGTGTGCCGGCAACTGACAAGACAGGCATGTGTGAATTTGATGGTTGAAGTTTCTGTAAGCTCTAGTTTGTACTTTGCGCACATGCTTTAGGACCTTTTTAAGTGCCCTTTGTCCTTATAAATTCTAGGTGGAAGTTTATCGTGAAATTGTTGGGTGTTTTTTTGTGTTTCTATTATGAGAACTTTCTATAATTTTGTGGGAAAGCTAAGATCAAGCATTGTGCCCAGAATTGCCTAGCGTCGATGACAGATTTTGAGAAAACTTGAAATGAAAACTACCAACAATGTCGTTAAAAAAAAATCAAAGGTTCCTAATTAGCTATCAGTTATAATTTATCTTTTTAAATTTCACATTTCAAATCCACAGACAATCAACCTTCTTCCAATTTAGCAGATTTAATAATTGCTTGAATTGATATTATAACCACAACTTGGAGCCTAGCTTCAAGTGAAGCTCTCAAAAAGAGATCACCTTTATAGGTAGTAAAGAGCAATGAAAGAATATTTATCTTGGGAATTTGGATAATTCACCAAGCTTGCTAAACTTTCCTTGTGATTGCCGTTTACAAAATTTGGATTAATATTGGATTCTCCATCGAACTAAGTCACTAATCTTTTACATTGCAATAATTCGCAAAGATGCAAGTGTGCATGTAAGCTTCACTACCATTTTTCAATCCATTTCCATTTAAGCTATTGGTCCTTGATCCAGGCACTAATGGAATTACTAACCAACGAAAACAAATATACTACCAAACAAAATAACATTCTTGTCATTGAAAAATTAAAACACTATAAAAATTTACTGGATAGAGTTGGACTACTACAAAAATCTGAAGATGTTCTGCTGTGCGGATGTACTGATCCTTAAAAAAAATCATAAAGTGAGAGAATCTTCGAGTTTTTGACATGACACGATTATGAATTTGACAAAATATGAACTCAAATCCTAAATAGAGAAAATCTTCTTCATCTAAATGAAATATTCTCTCTCGTGCGAGCTGAAGAAGAAAAAAAGAATGATGATTAATAGTTCAGCCGTCAAGATTTCCATCATGACGACTTAAAAATTTCAAGGCAAGGTAATGTCACAAAACTTGCCATAAAAGAAGGAAAAAAATCTTCTTTCAGATGCAATCTATAATGCAACTAGTGCAAAAAGAAAGAACAAAAGAAATAGTAGAAATTTTATGAAAAACTCGAAGAATATAGTTAATGAAAGTTAAAAAAACCAACCCTGCCTCGTGGATCTAGGATTTAATTCAAATAAAATAAACAGATTAACAATTTTTTTCAATTCCTTGAAAAAGCCATCAGAATCTTGCTCACTTGCTTAGTATGATATGATTTATAATGCTTATGCTCTTAGTGCATCTAAAAGTTTTTTTCTTCTTGAATCCTAGATTCTATGCCACTTATCACAAAACAAATCTCGTCAATATACTTTAAACTTACAACCTCTGTCCCAGTAATATAAATTTCAAATTTACAAATCCTATCCCAATAATAAAAAATATAAATTGAAGATGAATCTTTAACAACTATTGCGGGACAAGAAAACATAGTAATTTCTCCCAAATTAACCCTCAATAATACATTTCATATCTCACACAATATACTAACATTTTATCTATCCACAAATTTATCAAATAACACAACTACAAAGTATTTTTTTACTTATTAATGTGTTTTTCATGATCTCACTGCAAGAAAGATGATTGCACACGCTAGAAAAAATAATGGGTTATACCTTTTTGAAAATCGAAATCAGTTATCATACTCCATTTCTCACACCATCAACATCATCCGGACCATCATTATAGATTATGACATCCCTAGGTTAAAAATCTTCGGTATATATTTCCTTCACATTTCATAAATACAAATATTGAATACTCTCCCACTGAAACTAGTGGAATTGTTGAGCATTATCGTGTTTCCTTTCTTCAAGTAACTCTAGATGCAGCCCTTTTGTATTGATTAATTATGATATCCGGGGACACTCTAAAATCTCCAACATCTATGGAGTTAATGGTTTTGTCGTGTTTATTAATAATTACACTACAATGACATAGTCGTGATTAATTAAACAAAAATTCAATGTTAGCACTATACTCCATTTATTTACTGTCATGATAAAAAAATAAATGATAAAAAATTAACTTAACCCTTATTAATTTTTTTCAAACTAATAATGTTCGTGATTATTTTAACCACATATTAGTATACTTTTTCAAAAGAGATGGTATTATCCATCAATCTTCCTGCCCTAACACTCCCCAACAAAATAGAGTCACAGAAAGAAAAAATTTGCATATTTTAGTGGTGATCAGAGCACTTTTCTTCCACAATCAAATATCAATACAGTATTAGGGAGAAGTTATTTTGATAGAGATGCATATTTAATTAATGGAATAACTTGTAGAGTAACTAATTTTAAAAGTCCACTTAATTATTTGATAGAATTTTTTTATAAATAACTTCTCAAAAATTCATGCAAAAAATTTTGGATACATTGCTATATTCTTATCCATAAGCAATATAGAAAAATTTGATCCAATAGCTCTCAAGTGTGTATTCATCAGATATTTTATCCACACTAAAATTATATAAGTGTTATCATCCATCCCAAAAAAGGTTCATCATTTCAATGGATGTCACTTTTGATGAAACCCTTAGATTCTTCACTCAAATTCATCTTCATATTGAAAATTTCCCAACTTAATGAAAAGTTCAATAATTCATCTCTTAGTATACCTCATTTCATAAATTATATTCCTCTCATGAAGTCTATCAAGCGAATTTGAATGGAACCAAACACAAACATATTATTCACGATTCATTTCGAACACGAGCCTCGAACACGAATATGCTACTCACGGCAAATTTTGAACATGAGCCTAATTAGAATTAAAGATTTCAAACAAGTCAAACACGAATAAGTGTTGGGCTCGCTCAAGATCGGCGCATTTAGAGCCCTAGTTGTCAAGGACCTCATTGAAGGACTTGATCAATAGTGAAGATTTAGAGATCCAAAAGCACATAAGAAAATTATGCTATCAATCACAATATCTGCATCTGCAATAGTAACCTGGAGCACCAACCAGCTAATATCCTTGCCTAGCATGAACTTACAAAAAGTTATACACACTTAAAATCAGCAGTGGCACAGTTTGTTTAGGGGATCAAAAAAAAAAAAAAAAAAAGAAAACTACCGTATTGATTCCTCAAGGATATGAAACACCATTTTATAATTTTGATGGTGTGAGAAACAGAAAGGCATGAAACATACTTGGTAAGTCTATAAGTGATGGAAAAAGAGGAAGAAATGATCCATTTGACATCATTGCTGGTAAAATTGACTGAAACTTTTCTTCAAATCTGGAAATTAAAAAAGAAACTCAGTATTAAGAAGAGCTATTGCTTGTAGAAGCCAGCTTGGAAGATCAAAGAAGCTGCAAATAGAGTTGGGATTACAACTTAGGATGGTTACAAATGCAAAATTGAATTTTCCATGGTAGAAATATGAGTAGTCAATAATAATCAACTTATTGCCCAATCCAAATAGTTTAGCAGCCTAAACCGCCTAAAATGTGCAGAACATACTTCTCACCATTCCATGCTATCAACTTCAATAGCAAAGGGAAAAACTGCAAAAAAAAAAGCGCTAAAGTAAGAAATTAAAATAAATTCAGTGCCATTTAAATCAAACAGAAATATTTAAGACAAATGTAGTTTTATAACTTCGCATCACAGCAATTTTCCCATTTCCCTAAAAGCTAGTCTTTCGTGCCACAAAATTTAGTAGGCTTTTTTAAAATGAAGAGCAACTAAATAAATAATAGAAACCAAGTACATAATGCAGGTCAAACTTCAGAAAAGACTCACGTCTGCAGCAGCCTCATTCAAGTTATTTGCCATCAGCTTAAACTAAAAGCTACATCAGCCCTATTTCACTGAAAATATATATTTTGCTCTTTCCCGAGATCAACATTTAACAGATTACTCTAACAAAAGCCTATATACCTGTGCTAGCAAAGTAGGATACGCATTTATAAGCTTTATTTTGTTTAGGTTAAGGAAGTCGAGAGTGGCTTCTGCAACACGAGGATCTGCAAATTCTCTGCAAACCACAAAGCAAATAAATTATTCAAGTGGCAAAAAAAAATTAAATATCATCTTCTATTTCTGCAAGAAGAGCTTAAAATGGGAATTCACCAGGAATTGCTACAGAAAAAAATACCAAATCTTAGAACAACATAGTCTAGATAAAGTAGGACTAAGTTCTTAATAAGATAATTCTGAGAGTGTGCATAAGTATAAATGCCCTTTTTACAAATGGTATTACAATATGGAACATCTTAGGGTCTGGAGTTTGTGATATAAATCTAATATGAGACCTAGAAAATTATGTGGCGACCAAAATAACAAGAAAAGGAAAGTCATCAACGAGCCAGAAATAATTACAGAAACAAGTCAAATAGCCATGATAAATAATGAGAAAAGGAAGAGGGGAATTATGGCATAGACAGGTACAGAGATGGGGATGAAGTGAAGAAACAGAAGAAAGGAGAGGGAGACAGTAGATTCCTAAGAGGGGAGAGAAAGTTAGCTAATCTAATCAAAATCTTCATTTATTAATTCATTCCAAATACAAGGCGTTACTCCCTGCCTCATACAAAGTAGTAAAAATGCAAATGTCCCAAGTGCACATGAAGAATATTTTTTTAAAATATTATAATAGTATAAATAGAGATGATAAAATTCTAAATCATTAAAACTAAATATATGTTATAAAAATTAAATATATTCCTTTGTTTTAATTCAAAAATTGTTATTACTTTTAGGCTAATTAATGTAATACAAGTATGCTTTAAAAATAAAACAAATTTAGGTTAGTTCATCTATCATTACAAAAACCTATGAATTTATAAATAACCATAAATCAAAAAAGAACAGTAGTTTAAATCATTGAAATTAAATATATGCAATAAAAAGCAATATATTTCCTTTCATTTAACCTTAAAACTTATTATTAATTCTAAACCTATCAATAAAGACATGAAAAGATAAAATAAATTAATGTGAAATTGTTTATCATGATATAAATGTATAGATATTCGCTTATTAGTTAAGTGATACATATTTGATGCAGTTTTCATAAGATCTACTATCAATGAATGGTCATGATTTCTTCAATGATTTATATTAAATTAAGATCTTGCACATTGTTGACCTCATTTTTGTAAGGTCTTTTCTTCTCCGTTGCACATATAGAATCCTTATAATTACAAATCAATAACTATTACAAGATAGACAAATCCAGTGTTATCAAAACACAATGCATTAATTTTGCTTCAAAGAATAAAGGGCAGAGCAAAACAACGCTTTTATTAATCAAAGTGCCAATAGGTTATACAGAATTATCAATGTATAAATTCATTCGTTGACAACTATAAAATATACAGTATGAATTAAAAATTGATATAAAATAGAAAAAAAAATTTGGTATAATACATAACTTGAAGGCAAATATTGAGGATAATGAATTGCACGAAATCGGACTTCAATTAAGTCCAAAGGACGGGTGTCCTACGAATTAAAATTTTGAAAAACTTCTAATATTTTATTGCAAGAAATAAAAATTAAAAAATTGCAAAAAAAATGCAAATTAACTTCAGTGCTTCGAAGCGCCCCTCAGCGAAGCAAAGGGGGTGTCACGTGCTTCGTTTCACTTTGGTTGTGAAGCGCGCTTCATAGCACATTTTTAAAAACATTGGACAGATCATTAGCTATTTAAGCCTTCTTTGGATTTAAAATGTAGAAGAAATGAAGTGGAATCCAAACAATTCAAGGTAAGAATATAAATCAGCAAACATTGAACTAAAAGTCACGAATATTGGAATGTAGATAATGATAAACATAAGCCAAAGATGACTAAACAGATTTGATGCTGGTGTGTGGTGATATCAATGAATTGCATATTTAATGTCGGGAGCTAAAATCAGATATCATCAATATTTCATCAGCTAATTTTGATTGCTCAAAAGCTTAGCAAGCCTATTTTTGATTGAAAAGCATGTGCTACTAGATTTTCTTCATATATTGTTATAACTACGTTAGTATAGCAAACACAAATAATTCAAAATGTAATGAAAGTAAACGTGAGATAATATTATGACAGATTTTATGAAGCTCAAAAGCATGAATACTTCTTATCACTGCAGATATACAAAGACAAAAAAGTATGAATCCTTTGAAATTAAGAAAGCCTTCAAAGTTGCGATATTCCAAAGGGTCAAAGAGAGATACAACCTCAAAAAGACTATCTCTTTTGATTATGCTAGGGCAGTCTCTATGAAAATAGATATACAATCATTCAAAGGGTAAGTTCAAATTATGAAAATAGTCATTTAAACTGGATAGCCAAACTTCTAGTTGGAAATATCATTACAAGAGGTTCAATGTGATAAAATTGAAGTTAAATGATTTGAAAGAGCGCAAATTAGAGTTTATCCTTGGAAACTGATTATACTCAACTGCAATGGATATATGAAAAAGTTGAGTTCCTAGTATTAATGATATCATGCATGAGTTTGTGCATATTAAAACAGCAGGGTAATATGGAGAACTTAAGTGAATGTTGTAGTAAAGAACATTGTAATGAGTAGGAGAAAAATGTTTTTTGCAACAATATTTTAATGAGTATGGCATTACAGGTTCAAATTTTATGAAAGATGATAGAAGGAGAAAAATGGGGATAAAACGAATTCTTCATTTTAAAACTGATACGACAGTAGTTTATGTGCTTTTGTGAACATCTGCATAACATGAGGTTATAGAAGATGTGCACATGCACACGAGAGAGAGAGAGAGAGAGAGAGAGAGAGAGAGAGAGAGAGAGAGAGAGAGAGAGAGAGAGAGAGACATTTCACCTGACTTCATTTGAATTTAAGAGAGAGAGAGAGTCCACTGAAACGATTAAGCATAGTTCCCTTATAGTAGCATATAAAGAAATTTGAATTGCTAAACTAGTAGCACTTCAATCAATTTCTACAATAAAAATTATAAAATGCGGAGCCTGCAAGTACTTGTACATAAATTTAAAAAAACTATTGGACATTTCACCTGACTTCATTTGAATTTAAGAGAGAGAGAGAGTCCACTGAAAAGATTAAGCATAGTTCCCTTATAGTAGCATATAAAGAAATTTGAATTGCAAAACTAGTAGCACTTCAATCAATTTCTACAATAAAAATTATAAAATGCGGAGCCTGCAAGTACTTGTACATAAATTTAAAAAAACTATTGGACATTTCACCTGACTTCATTTGAATTTAAGAGAGAGAGAGAGTCCACTGAAAAGATTAAGCATAGTTCCCTTATAATAGCATATAAAGAAATTTGAATTGCAAAACTAGTAGCACTTCAATCAATTTCTACAATAAAAATTATAAAATGCGGAGCCTGCAAGTACTTATACATAAATTTAAAAAAACTATTGGACATTCCACCTGACTTCCATGAATTAAATTCAAATGAACGAATAAAACATTGCTAAAACTTGCAATTGAAAGTTTCTTACCTGCTTAAACAGGAGCGAAAAAAGGTTCGTAAGCTAGGTTCAGCATCGTGTAAAACCATTTCTCCAAAATCAAGAAAAAATTGAAGGATAGCCTGCAAAGGGAAAGACTAAAAAATCAAGAATCAATGAATTAAAAGGGATGAGAGTTATTTTTTCTAAAACATGAAATGAATGTAATTAAAGCTGAATCTCTAAGAAATGATACAATTTCCATTGAAAGAGAACATCTGCAATAACATGGGTGCGAGCCGGAGATGAAATTTAAAACAACTCCATTCAGCTGCTGCTCACAGTTGCAACGTTATTGCATAAGAATAAGAATACAAATAAAACTGAACAAAAAAAATCTTTGCTGCAGCAGCACTACTAACATCCAAAAACACAACAGCGGAAACAAAAAGTTATACCTGTGGCATCATCTCACATGATATGATACGCTGTATGCACAACATAAGCATAAATATGTGCAAAATATCTTATTTTTACATATATGCAAGTACACCTATTCTATCATCCATCCAAGAGAAGATCAAGTATGTACTTTGAATAAGCCAAACACAGACAAAAACTTATTGCATAAAAGCATGAGAGATATCAGGAATCATAAGTTGAAAGAGCACAAATACAACAACAACAACAAAACCTTTATCCCACTAAGTGGGGTCGGTTACATGAATCATTTTTCTTCGCTGCATCCTATTTAGTGTTATATTTTCATTTAATTCTAATAAATTAAGATCATTTTTTAATACAATATGCCCAAGTCATCCTAGGCCTGCCGTTTTCAACGTAAGTCGAATCTAAAACATCTACTCTTCTAATCGGATCATCAAATGGCTGACGTTTAATGTGACCAAGCCATCTAAGACAACTCTCTCTAGAGCTACACGTCATTAGAGCTACACCAACCCTATCACAGATATATTCATTTCGCACAAATGAAAGAGCACAAATAAACAATAATAAACAGTTATTCCAATAAGAACCAAAATCATACATACCTTAACCCCAAAATCGTACATACTTGAACCATACTAGTAGGGCTGTCAAAAAAGCTCGTTGTTCGCGAACCGTTCGTGTTCAGCTCATTTGTTAAGTAAACGAGCCAAACACAAACAATATTTTTAAGCTCGAATTTTAAACGAGCTGAACACGAACAACTCCCTGTTCGCTCGTGTTCGGCTCGTTTTAGCTCGAAATAAAAAATTATATATGGTCATGTGGTTTTGCACATTCTATGGCACAGAGTTGGCGCAGGTTCGAATCCAATACCCTATATTGATTTTTTCGAATTAATTTTGACGAGCCAAATTTAAGCCGAACATGAACAAGAATATTTAAATCGAGTCGAACATGAACACACTATTCACGAGTCAATTCAAACATGAGTAATTTCGAATGAGTCGAACACAAGCCAAGCTTGAGCTCTCTCAAGCTCGACTCATTTACAGCCCTACATAACAATTAAACACGAACACGGCCCAAAAATATGTAAGCGCTGAACCCAAACATGATTTCCCCAACAGCATCACCTTTCTCTTCTACAAAAATTGGTAACCTAGGCCTTACCTCAATCACAGAAAGATCTATTATCAAGCAAAAGCTCCCTCTCTCTCCCCCTCCCCCACTCTCTCTCCCCCTTGCACCATCAATCATCATCATCTCCTTCAATTGAGTAACGATCTCAAAACTGCTGCACAAGTCACCCACTTCAATCAAGAGCCATTCCAATCTGCAAGCATCTCGATCTAATTGCACAAACTTTCCACCATAACTCAACCCCAATGTCATGAATCCTTTTGTTCTTCTTTAGCCAAGAATTTGTGAATCGCAATCTCTTTTCTTCATAGGCATTTTTTATCTATAGCCCTTGAAGGCACAATCATCTTTAACTCCCCAAGCTCCCATTACGTTCACCATCATTGATCATAAAAGAGCATTTGGGTAACCCATTCATCTTCGTCCCTTCAATTCTCATAGCTTAATACAAATTATTAGGTATTCTTAAACTTATTTTAGGTTTTGTTTTAAAAAAAATTAGGATAAATTATGAAATTAGAGTTAATAATATTGGCTTCATCCCAAAATAATCATACTTCATTCTGTTTGATTTTAAAATAATTTAAATGAATTACATTTTACCTATTTTAGTTAGCTATGATTTTCAATGCTCATATGTGCTTGTGAAATAAATTTACAATCCTTAATGTATCAGATCACAAGTTGATATTTCACTTGACGTGATTGTTGGAACACAATTAAAATTGTTTCGTGCCACTGACTCTAAAGTAAATAACAATTTATTTATTGAAGGATAAATCTATCCTTCTTTGTTTGAGGTTTTATCCTTAATGCGTGTAATTGTGATCTTAGAAATTTTGTATGTTGCCATTCATGTTATTGCATTCAGTTCTTGTTATCCATATTTAAATAGATATTATTTAATGTTGGGAATGATCACGTGAGATAATAAGTTTTTTCATTTTAACTGCTGCATAAATACTTAAATTTGAAATGAGCATATGATAGCAAAAGTAATTCTCATACATTGCTTTTGTTAAATACAATAAATCATATTCTTACTGACAAGACAGTTTTTTCATTTTAACTGCTGCAACTAACAACATTGCTTTTGTTAAATACAATAAATCATATTCTTATTATGAAACTAACACTAGCCATGTTGATTCAAAATACCAGTTAAATATGCAAAACCCTTTTGAATTTTAATAGTAGGGCAAGCAAGCCCACGGAGTGTCAACTCTTTTGGGAGCCATTATATTTCCATGATTTGACGCATACCTCTCAAAGTGTCTTAGTGAAATCAACTACAGATATATGCAAATATATAGATGAGAAAATTATATGATAGAGGACTAATGAGTCTTTTTTGGTTATATATAATTATGTGTGATATGGTTGTGCATGATTCTATTAGTATAGAAATACATTGCTTACAGCCTTTTATACAAATGATCATGAACATTAGTCAACATATTGTAAAGCAACTTAAACTAGTTGACATTTTTCATTCATATCAGGTAATATTATTCATTACGTTGATATATGACATTTATTATACTATTATTACATTAGAAATCATACAACTTTTCTTCTCCATATTGCATGTGCCATATCTCAACATTTATAATTTAATAAATAAGAGACTGACTTCGAATGTCAAACTCATCCATTGTAACATTAATTTTTAGTAAATTCTAATCATTTTTAATTACTGCTTTTGCTTCCCATAGTGACTGATGGATGCAATAAAATATTATCTTTACGCTTATTTTTACATGTTTGCTTATAATTACTTGTGTACGTGAAATTTTTTCCTATTAAATACATAACAGCCTTATTTGAGTTGAGATTAATATATCCATGTTCCATATTACCAAAGTGTGCCGCCTTGTGAGCCAGGGTACAACAATTCTCTGGTAAGCGTTCACTTTGTAGCATGTATCTAAGTAGACAATCTGCAGAAATGATGCAGAGTAATTCTATCATAATATTCCAAATAAGATACAGCATTTGCAAGCTCACTATAAAACCAAAGCTTATCTTCTGAGAGTCTGGAAAATATATATGAGAAACTAACTCGTCATACGACTATTAATTAACAATAAAAGCTTCTTTGGATGATTGTCGGACACAGTTGTTGAACTCTTATAGAAGAACTAATGCTTCAAAGCACCAAAAAATGGATATCAGGCAATAAAAAACAAGCCCTAAGTATTAAGCTAAGGCCTCGACACGGAAGAAATCAAAAACATGTGATGGGAATAATGCGAATCAAACATTGCGAGATAAAGGATATGGGTGATATTTCTACCAGGTACAAAAGATAGAAAGAAAAAGAAAAAAAAAGTTAGGAAGAGAGAGAACCAGCAATAGAAGCCCATTAGAGGCCTGAGACTGAGGGAGGGCGGCCACCGATCGATGAAAGAGCTTGTTGATATGCGGATAAGCGCGGGCTACTAAATCCTCCGACTTAGCTTCCTTGCAGATATCGTAAATCTTCTTAATCTTCATGGGAAACATACCATTATGAAATGTCTCGAAAGGTTATAGAAACAAAAACTTGGGAGAGGAAAAAAAAGGCCTTACAGATTGGAGTATGTATGGATCCGAAGCTGGATCACTAGCAGCGGTTGAGTCTCTCGCGTTTGCGGATAGGGATCGCAGGTGGAAATCCCAATCTCCTTCCCTGTCCACCGGTTTCGCCATTATTTTTCTCTCTAGGTCGAAGGGTTACTGGGAGATCGCCGCAGAACTGAAGCGCGGCAACCCTCTTCGCAGCAGAATTGAAGCGCGGTAAAGAAATGAATTAACCTGCGCTTTGCCTAGCTTGTTCGTGCCATTCTTCCTGTTCGCTCGTCCTCAGATTTCAGTATTTAGTATAAATCATGGATTATCGTGAATCAGCGTCATTTTGGGATTTACTGGAGCTCAGGATTTAAGAAGGCATTTTTTCCGGTTTGGCGTGATTTAAATCCTGCAAAATTCATGCTAAAAATTGGCTGCCAAACAGCCCCTTATGGTCTACAAAATGATAGATTTCGGTTTGGCGTGATTTAACTTAAATCCTGCAAAATTCATGCTAAAAATTGGCTACCAAACAGCCCCTTATGGTCTACAAAATGATAGATTTTAGGGACGTTTTCCAAACCAACTACTATGAAATTCAATATAATACATTGATTTTCAACGTGATCTTCGTAACATTTAACTGCCAATTTTGTTGCCTGTTGTACTTGTGGTTTTTCAATGACTTACATTTTGGAGACGATTAATCCAATATTGGGAGTTTCATTAGTGGACCTTCAAAACTTTGGTTCAATCTAGAATTTGCTTCCTTTGGAAATGATTTGTAGTAATTTATAAGGCATGAAATAGCATTGTGGAATGATATTTAGTTACCTTAAATAATACTTATTTTTTAAATGCTTAATTTCATCAAAATAGCTTATTCATAGTTGAGATTTTGAATTTACTAAAACCAAAACAACATATATCTTGCACATAAACTTAACAAGTAACCCCTTTATCATTGTCATTCCATCCTAAATGAAAAAAATTGTTGAGATTTTAATTTGCATTTTTGAATAAACATTTAATTTTAAGCTTTGCTACATTCAATGTTTGTAGTTTCGTAACTTCTTATGTTTTAGCAATTCCTCTCAGTTGATGTTAAGAGATTTTTTTGGATGTTTTAGGTCTGAAATTTATGTTTGCTCTCATTATTGATAAAAAGTTGCCATAATTTAAAAAATGAGTTCACCTTCTCAGCTTCAAATAGCTTCAAAGATTGTAAAAAATTTATTGTTGATGCTTACTTATGATAGAGATTAATATCATTTTATATCTTAGCTAGCTTAAACCATGTAAGAAGAGTATGTTTATGAATATAACTTGGAGTATTTTTTAGTAATTAAAATTCTACGATATGAATATAATTGCTTCCTATATTGAAGATTTTGGTCAGCTAAACAAACTTTTTTCTCTTCAGATCTTGATGTTTTTCGAAGTATGAGTTGTTATAATCTCAAACTTACTACTTATATATTTATTTGTTAATTCTTATTATGGAAGGTTATTGTATTAAATAGGTATTGATCTTATAAAAAAGGCATAACATCTCTTGTAACATATGAAACCAGCTAAGAAGCTAAAAAACTATTTGTTTACTATATGTTGCTCAATTAGAATAGTTAAATAGCTCATAATACTTAATGATTCTTATATGAATGAAAAGAATCAGGCATAACAAATGAAGAACAAATACTACTTTTGAAATCATACTATTCTTTCATAAGTGTATTTATAAAATAGATACAAAATTGCTTAGCATGTCTATTATTGTCTTTTAACAATCAAATTATTAAAAGTGGTGCATTTGACAGATTCAAGCAAATGCTAAGTTCAATTACAATGTTGCATATTATACAAGATTTTAAAGAATCTCTTGCAATACGACACTTAAAAATAGATAACAAAAGTCTTTACAATCAAACATAATTATGGAATTACTACATTACCAAGAACAATCATCTAACACTACATTTAATTATCAAAAAATTAGTTTAAAAAAATCAATTAAATGTCTACGAGCAAAAAAATGAAATAATTAAAGAATTAAGTTAATAATTCAATGCATCTACAAACTACCCAATTTGTTGAACTTTTTAACATCCAATGTTGCTCATAGTCGTCCTCATTATTTCATTATCAAGCACTTGATTCATGTTATTTACGCGTTGATCTACCTTCCACACTTCTCTCCAAGCATGTTAATATCCTCAACCCTTCTATTTTAACATTCCTTCACCATCAAATTCTGTGCTCACCTCATTTTTTTTTTGTGGCCACAGTGTATGTGGCTTGTAATAACTCTTAATGAGCATAAGATGTGCCCCTAGTGTCTGTCGTTTTTCTGCGTGTTTTATGTCAATTTAAATCCTCGGTAACAATATAACAATGCCAAAAACTTGACCCGTCCTGAAATTATGCAGTAATTTAGCTTTCAAAAATATGACCAAAATCTTGACCCAATTTATATTAAGTATTTAATGTACAAAATAGAAATGTTATATAAAATATATAAAATAGTTCACACACTAGGAGTTTTACGCAAGTGTACACATCACTTCAAGTAATATGGGGCTTTCTTTAAAAACCCCAGTATCGATCCCATATAGAAGCACAGTAAGACATCCCTCGGGTAAATTCTAGTTTACTAATATAAGGTTTTAGTTTTGGAAGATGGAAATTCTTATGATAATAACTTAAATCACAGTATTCAAAATATAAAAATTGAAGTAAGAAAGACAAATTAAAATGGGTTTAAAGAATGCTAATAGAAATGTAACTGAAAGAACTAAGTTTACTAAACTATTTTCTAAACTATAAAATTAAATTTACTAAGACTAAACAAAGTTTTCTGACAAAGGGTTCAAATTTAAGAAAGCCTCATTCCCCTTTATAATAAGTATATGGATTGTGAAGAAATTAAAATCATTTAAAAACATATAAAAATTATTTTGTGCCAAATAGGAGCGCATATTCTTTACCCTCTTTCGAGTGCTATAAATAACATTGACTAATCCAGACTTTGGTCCCTAATTTCGTGGTTAGGCTGGGAATATACCGGCTGCCACTCCAGAGCTCTCACTACTCTCTCATCTGAGGGCTAACAATCTCATATTAGTTTCCAATCAATTGAAGTAAATTGAGGATTTTAATCTGTCACCTTAAAATCTCCAATTTTGCATCCAAAAAAATATATTTCCCTATTTTTTTGCACTCAATTCCATATATGACATACTCTCGCATGAAATCAAATGTTATTCTCCTAATGTTGTAGAAATCATAGCCCTTTCGGAACATATGTTTCTAAATACATTTTAACATTTCAATTGATCAGATCGAAAAGTAAATGAAGGTCGAAGTTTGAATCACCACAAAATATTGACATTTAAAACTGTATAAAACAAAATCAATTATTCACAAAATGAAATCTCAAAGTAGGGAGAAAGATAAAAAAGACTACTCAGAATTCATGAGAAGGATACGACAAAACACAGATTTCATTAATAAAAATAAGTTTACAATACAAAAGAAATAAAAGACACAACTTATCTTACAGTCATTCCCAAGTAAATTCCTAGAAGTTCTCTTCAAGTCTTTCTTTCTTTACAAGTACTCTCAATTCTCTCTTAGAAATGTAATGAGAAAGAAATCTATCACCTTCCCTCTCCTCTTAAAATCCTTGAAGAAAATCCCCAAGCCCTTCCTCTCACTCTCACACCACTCACATACACACACACTCACACACACCTATACTCCTCTTCAAGCCCTAGACTTCCCTCTCTTTTATAAAAGGTTGACTTCCTCCAAAAAGAATTCAGAATTCCCTCCAAAAGTCAACTCATTTGAATTCAAAATACATGCCCATTGATCCAAGAGATATTTCCCTTCATAAAAGAACCTTCCAAAGTGTCTAGATGCATTGAATCACTCTATGAGGTGTTTAGAGCAAGTTCCCCTTTGAAAATTTGCCCCCTTTATAAAAGAACCATCCAAAGTGTCTAGATGCATTGAATCACTCCAAGGGGTGTTTAGAATAAGTTTCCCTTAGAAAATTTGCACAAAAACTCGTCCCGAACCGCCTTAATCCGTTAAAAGTCATCTCCGGCGCATATGGCGCCAAATCGGTCCATCATGTGCCAGTTCTTTGTATTTTGGCGCATCATACACCACCCTGCAACAGTTCCATTATTTTGCTCCGTCTGACTCTGTTTCAGCTCTATTTCGCCCCATTTCAGTTGTGTTTCTCTCCTAACAGATATAACTTCAAAATAAGTATGAAAATAACCTTTCTTTAAAGTGTAATTTTATTCAAAAACATGTGAGAAATGTAAATTTGATTAAGCATAGAAAGATATATTAAAATGTGTCAAGTTTGAATTTTCTTTCTTGCTCGTTTTTACTCCAAATTGCACCATTTAAATTACACCATTTTTGCTTTATTTACTTCAAAATTTCATTTCTTGTACCTGAAACCAAAAATATTAAAATGAAATCTCAAAGTAGAGAGAAAGATAAAAAAAACTGCTCAGAATTCATGAGAAGGATACGACAAAAAATAGATTTCATTAATAAAAATAAGTTTACAATACAAAAGAAATAAAAGACACAACTTATCTTACAATCATTCCCAAGTAAATTCCTAGAAGTTCTCTTCAAGTCTTTCTTTCTTTACAAGTACTCTCAATTCTCTCTTAGAAATGTAATGAGAAAGAAATCTATCGTCTTCCCTCTCCTCTTACAATCCTTGAAGAAAATCCCCAAGCCCTTCCTCTCACTCTCACACCACTCACATACACACACACTCACACACACCTATACTCCTCTTCAAGCCCTAGACTTCCCTCTCTTTTATAAAAGGTTGACTTCCTCCAAAAAGAATTCAGAATTCCCTCCAAAAGTCAACTCATTTGAATTCAAAATACATGCCCATTGATCCAAGAGATATTTTCCTTTATAAAAAAACCATCCAAAGTGTCTAGGCGCATTGAATCACTCCAAGGGGTGTTTAGAATAAGTGTCCCTTAGAAAATTTGCACAAAAACTCGTCCTGAACTGCCTTAATCCGTTAAAAGTCATCTCTGGCAAATCGGTCCATCATGCGCCAGTTCTTTGTATTTTGGCGCATCATGCACCACCCTGCAACAGCTCCATTATTTTGATCCGTCTGACTCTGTTTCAGCTCTATTTCACCCCATTTCAGTTGTGTTTCTCTCCTAACAGATATACCTTCAAAATAAGTATGAAAATAACCTTTCTTTAAAGTGTAATTTTATTCAAAAACATGCGAGAAATGTAAATTTGATTAAGCATAGAAAGATATATTAAAATGTGTCAAGTTTGAATTTTCTTTCTTGCTCGTTTTTA